CAGCAGCTGCAAGGAATTACTTGTCTCTAGGAAACACCTGCTTGACTTCTGAAGGTTGAGGCACTAAAGGCAGGTTTGGAATGAACACATGAAGCTGCTTTATACTGAATCAGACTCTCAGTCCATCAGGGCCCGTATTTTCCACTCAGACTGGTGGCAGCTCTCCAGGGTCTCAGGCAGGGGGTCTTTCACATCACCTACTACCTGGTTCTTTTAACTGGAGATGCCAGGGATTGAACCTGGGACCTTCTGCATGCCAAGCAGAGGCTCTACCACTGAGCCACGGGCCCCTCCCCAGCGTCATTCTTCCATGTGATCAGGAAACAGAACCTGCGTCAGGCTCTACAGGTAGGAGAAGGCTCGGTTCTGAATAGCTGAGGACAGGTAACAGGTTTAGTCTCCTGTTCCGGCAGCATCTTAGCTACCATTGTAGCCTACCTGTCCTGTCGAGAGCTCTGATCAGCATGCCTGAGAATTTGAACTCAGGTCTCCATCTGACACTGGCTACCTCAGCATACTACGGCATGGGACAAAACCTTACGGTGGTTTAATTGGCCTGTTCAGTAGAATCCCAAACTGGCAGCAAAGAGCTATTCTGAGCGAAGACTCCAAATTTCCTAGTCTAGGCAGCACCTGGATTTCGGATGCTAAAAATAAAAGGGGAGTGGAAAGAGAACTAACCTGTTTATCTCCCACCCCACTTCCCCGTGCCTCCATCAAAAGGGAGACGAGCCACAGATCTCCCGCATGGCATCTTTTAAGAGCCTAGTGCTTTGATGATCAAAGATGATCGAGATTTTCAATGCGACGCCTCCTCTGCTGCTAAACCAATTACATGTGCCCATTAGTGGGATGATTTTGTCTCTTTTTCCCCCCATTGTCTCTTCCCCTCCTGATCTTCAACGTGCGCTGGCTGTTAATGAGATTGGATGCCTTGTGGGTTCCAGAACAGATTCCATCACTGTTCGGTGCACTAATTAGCTTGGGTGTATTGCTGTCCCCCCCCCCCCTTTTCACAAATTTTCCCTTTTCAAAATGTTCAAGGGACAGGAGGGAGATGGTGAAACGAGTCCTGTTCACACGTGATACCGAACATGCCTAGATTCTGCAGGCACATCTGTTAGTATGGAAGAACCAAGGTGTATCGGCTTTACAAATGAAAGAGGGGACCATTCGCTGGATCAAAGTGGGGCTTAAATCACAACCATCCTTCCTGAGCGGAGACAAAAATGTGTGAGCTGGAGGCCAAAAAACTGTGAGCTAGCTCACACTAACTCAGCTTAGAGGGAACACTGCCGAACATGCCTAGATTCTGCAGGTACATCTGTTAGTATGGAAGAACCAAGGAGTATCGGCTTTACAAAAATGAAAGAGGGGACCCTTAGCTGGATCAAAGTGGGGCTTAAATCACAACCGCACATGCACTGAATGTAACGTGACAACTCCTTGAGCCACATATAAAGAAAAGAGTGTACAGGACTAGAGGAACCACTGGTCTGATCCAGCAGGGCTCTTCTAATGTTCTTTCACTGTGTACGTGGATTGTACGTGTGTTTGCGGTGACTTGTGAACAGGACTACTGAGTATCCTCGAAATGCAGGGTTTGGGTTTTTGTCCCTAGTGTGGCTCTTTTTCAAAGAGTGTTCCTAGGGTTGGGGAATTCATGGATATTGGGGGATGGAGCCTGGGGTTTGGGGGGGGGGGAGACCTCCGTAGGGTACAATGCCGTAGGGGCCACCCTCCAAAGCAGCCATTCTCTCTCGTGGAACTGATCTCTCTAGTCTGAAGAGAAGTTAGAATTCTGGGAGACCCCAGGCCCCACTTGGAGGTGGGCAATTCGAGGTGTTCATCAGAAGCTTCTCTCGGGTTCCTTGATGGAAGGCTGGGCGACTGGAGAGGAGATTCCGAGAAGGAAGACTTTTCCTAGGGGGCATCTTGTTCACCATCAGCAACCTCTGCCTCTGCAGTTTGCCTGCTCAGGAGTGCGTGAAACGCATTCCAGGAAGACCTGTTCCTGGCGGGCAAAAGTTTGGCCGCTGGCGGCTTGCATCCACAAAAGCTGCTTTTACAGGGGTCTAGTTCTCGTCCAGGAGGTAAATCCTCGACTGGACTTCACTGTCCTTCAGTGCGTGTGAAGGCTGTTATACTGGAACGCTCCTGTATGAGAAAAGTTCCTGCATTTGAAAGCTAGTATGTGAAGAGGTTCTGGGGCAGAGACCTACCTGTCTGGCAGGCCCCAGTGTCGCAACAGTCGTGGCTGAAACCAGAAGCAACGTTAACGTGTTGGGGTGATACTGTAGCATGCCCCCCCCCACTTTGATTTTTACCATAGAGTTTCAGGTGAATGCTAGAGTGTGACCTCCAGGGGTCATTTCCTGCGGGAGCACACAGGAGCGGAGCTCCGGCAGTAAGGAGCCCAGGGGGTGGGCACATGCAGCAAGCCCCGCCCCCTGCTCCCAGCAGCCCTCAGTCAGGCCACAAGGAGCAAGAAGCAACCAGGTAAGTTGCAGAGCCCCCCCCCTTTCAGGTACAAGCTCTCCCTCCTCTGTGAGGGCAGATCTGCGTGTCCCCCCCCCATAGCTAGCAATCCAAAACAGTCCAGTGGAGCCTGAGCGGTGGGTGTTGCCTTCTGACACACTTCCGGTGATGTCAGGGGGTGTGGCATATGCAAACAAGTTATGCTAATGAGTTATGCTAATGAGCTCCTGCACCTTTTTTCCTACAAAATGACCACTTACCTCAATGCATTGACATCACATCTGGTTTGAGCCAAAGTGGTCATGACAGGAGATACTGATTCCCCGCCCCCACTATTTCCCCCCTGCTGCCCTAGCAAGTGGAGGTGAGGGTATCAGGCCGGTGGAAGGTATGCATAGGGAGAAGGCTAGCACTTTTTAAAAAAAAACAAGTGAGCATTCAAGCGAATGAGCGGCCAGTCGCAGCCCAGACACAAGCGTATTTAATTACATTTTTGGATGGCCTGGTCCACACAACTGTGGGGCTCTAGGCGATGTCCAGCATTAGAACAATAAAAAGCATTTGCAGCACATATAATTCCTTAATTAAAATCAAACGGCGAAATTTTTTAGGGTTCCCTCCCATTTCCAGCCTGTGAGTTCCTCGTGGGTACAGGGGGGAGGAGTTAAATTCTTCAGGGGACAGAGGTCCGGGAAGGGTGCCAGCCATGATGTAAGCTGTGGCTGTCCTCAGCTTAACGCCTGCCTCACGGGCCCTGTGGAATGGCGCAAGATCCCGCGGGGCCCTGATGTTATTTGGCAGAGAGTTCCGCCAGGTCGGGGCCAGGGCTGAGAAGGGCCTAGCCCTGGTTGAGGACAGCTGGATGTCTGTTTACATTGACCTGAGTCAGGCTACTTTAGCCTATGCAACCCACTGTGGTCGTCTCTGAATAGCAGAGAGTCTCCGAGGCCTCCGGCAGACAATGATTTATTTTTTACCGAGTGCAGATGCATGCAACTTCAGTCTCTTGGTTAAAATGGCTCCAGGGAAGGCAACGAAGATGGCTGGGGACCGGAGACAAGGCCTATGAGGAGAGTTTGAAGGAACTGC